AATAATTTTGGTGTCTTACCCTTGCTGCTGTTACAGGATAAAAATGATTGAAGTTACAAAGAGAGTTTGAAAAGAAGATATTTGCAAGAATACTCAAATGTGACATGTGCAGATACATTAAATGATTAATCCCAGTATTTAATTAAAGCAGAAATAATTTTCTGGAGCTTCAGATTTTAGAATATTATTTATTAAACAAGGGTGTTACATTTTAATGATGAAGAACAATGGAAATTGAAGACCAAATATCTAGCTGTGAACTACAGAGTTAGGAAATAATTTCAGCATTGTCTTAGTTTACTTCTGAATAACATTTTAGCATGWTTGAGTTGTCTCACTTTATATCCTTTCTATATGTCTTGCTAGCTGTTATTCAGTATTAATGCAAAGTGAATTTTATTAATAGCTTTACATGAATGTTGCTTTGAACTATACTTCTAGGTAGTTAGCTGAGAATTTGCTCTTAAACTGGTTCTTTAATTTTTTTTTAGTAATGCTGCCTTGCTTTATTACTTCTGTTCTAATTTGTCTGGGATTATAATATTGGAGAATAAACAATAAGCGGTTAGTTTAAGTGATTTAAGTGAGCTTTCTTTAATAGGACAGTTGTGTTGCTCAATTATTCATGTGAATATGCTAATATATATGTTTACGTGACTAAACAGAGATGATGAATACCTAATTTATTTTTAAGTGTAGTCCAACAAAAGCTATAAAAAGTGCTGCTGGTACTTTTTCTTGTTTTGTGCCAGTCCTTTTCTGGCATTTGGCTTAAGGACATGTACAGGGCYTTCTGAATATACATTTAAAGTAATTTTTCCCCCTAGAATAAGTACAAGAGATCTGGTAAAAGTGGCAGCTGCATAACAGAGTCACATGATAGTGTTTCTGGGAAACGGTAGTTACTGGCTATAAGAAGCCTGGTTGTATGCAAAAATTTATGTTGGCTTTGGATTGTGACATCACACAGATTTCAGAGATTAATTGTGGGCATTGTGAGGCACACACAGCTTTCATTGTGAAAGGAGGTTTGATAATACAGTTCACAGAACAATGCGAGTATTAGATAAATGGGTATTTGATTTACTAATGATTAGTGTAAAATGCATTTGTAATTCTGTTTTAATAATGTAAATAACTAGTTAAGAAACATTTTTTTTCCTTTGAAATTGATCTAATTGGTGTTTTACTATTGTTTTTATTTTTGCAAATGTATTCTTATATTTGTAAGTAAAAAATGTACTCTAAGTGTTGTGGTGATACAGTGTCTCATTCCTTGTTTAGATTTTTATAGTTCGTGATTGATCATGGTTTCAGTAATATGCTATGTTGCCAGAGATTGTATGCCCTTCTGTGTATGCTGCTTTGGCTCAAGTCAGAACATCTGATACCCTGGGTTTTATAATCACTTCCTTTGAGAGGTTTCAAACCAGGTTCTGTAGACTAAGTAGAGAATACTTGTGTTTGTGGCATTTTGTTGATTTGTATCCTTGACAGAGTAAATACCAGTATGAATGTGTCATGAAAGACAGCTGTTACTGCAAATCTTCCAGCTAGTGTAAGGTATTTGGCTTGTGTCCTCTGAATTGCCACACAGGAAAATCAAAACTACAAATAAAAGGCAGTGGAGTATATGGGAAGCTGAATACAGAGCATTTTGATCTGCAAGAGTAGTCTTCTGTATCGTATTGACCTTATGTGTCTGATTTAACAGACTGTAAGCAATAGGAAATAATGCAGATCACATCAGTCTGTTTTTTGACTGTTCTGGAGAAAACTGTAAAAGCAAATAAATATTGCAAGAAACTGAAAAACCCTGGTAAGCTACTTACTAGTGTAATAGCTTATCAAATTTAGATTTTATTATATAAAGATGTTTTGCCAAGATGTAGCTCAAAATTAAGTCAGTGATGAGGTTAAGTACAAGTGGTATTGTCATTGACCTGTGAGTTATATATTCCTCTGCTGCCTGTCAGGTTAACTTATTTTTCCTCAATGAGGGCACACACATGCAATAATTGAAGCTACGATGTAGTATTTGTGTCAAAGCAAGTAGACGGAATGTTTTCTTCATGATACAAATGTGTGTTTGTGCTAGTCATGTRTATTACTTTGGATAACTGCCGTGAACAGCAGGCAGTCTCAAGCTTGAATAAAGTTTAGTGATGAAGTTCTTGAAAAAGACATCAGCCAAGATGGATGATAGTCCCAAAACAGAAATAACTTATACATTTTTTCTTTATTTTAAAGGGTTTTTTAGGTACAGTTTAATCTACTAGAAATGTTTTCTTTATTCTAATGTTTTTGTGCTTTCATCATTTTAGAAGAAGTCAGATCTGTTAGCTTTAAAAACTTTCTGGACATCATGTGTATAGACATAGTGGACAAAAGATTTTGAGTGAAAATTAAACAATACAACCTGTAAATCTACRTAACTGGTTTAGGGAGCTCCTGTCTGCTTCCTCTGGTGGATAGTCATGTACTTTTGGGGTGTTTGGACTTGATTTTGGACTCCAGAGGTATACAATAGTAACATTTTAGGTGGCTGATGAAAGTTAACCTTTTTAGTAGAAGAAATTGGAATCCAAGCAATGTTCAAATTGTTAATTTCCAAGTCAAGACTTCCTTGTCAAGAGTAAAAAAGGATTAAAATAATCTTTTAATCATGGATTTATGATTTTATGGCAGGGCAGTCACATAAACTATTGAAAATTGCCTTAGTCAATTGAGCCCTTTCAAATGAAAGTGTTTTACTTGTCAAAAAGWGTAAATACCTAGGGATAAGCAAATATGACTCATATCTGAAAAAAGGATGCTATATTCAGAGTTTTAAAATTAGAAACGAAAGCTGTTTAAATGTTAAAGTAACTTAATGGGAGTATGTGAATATTTTTTTGGTCACAAGTTCCTTCTTTGGTGAAAGAGTAGGAAGTTAGATGCAACTTTTAGTGACATTTCTGTGGCAAGCATTGAGTTCTGTATGTAATTGTGGAGGGGAACTTCTTTTTAAAAAAGATTTTTTGAGAATAGGGAGGAGATTTGTTGAGGTACTAGAAAGGATTGAATGGTAATCWAATTAATTATTGATCAAGAAACGTAAGACCAATGACTTCTTTACATTCACAGTAACAAGACTGGGGTGCATCTTAAAAACTCAAGAGTATTTCCTTCTTGTATTCTTCAATGGTTTGATCCAGAGTAATTCAAAATGGAAATAAAATGCATCCTCTTAATTGATAATAAGTAGTGGAATATCTTGTCAACAAAATAGGGGATTCTTAATTTTCTAAAAGACAGAATTTCTTTGATTTTAACCAATCTTTTTAAAGGTTTATGTAAAAGAGCTTACATTTGTCTCACTATAGTGTGAGAAAAAGCCTCATATACTTTTTATTAGTAGCATGTTACTTTCTGACTTCTGAAGATTGAGAGACCTGATGAAATAATGTACGTAGGAGAATGGTACTCACTTATTGTTTTTCATGAAAAGCACKAAGACCATTTTGATTAAGGACCAAAGCCCCTATCTTTTAGTACTTTGAACTGTTAATATCAAATTACTTTGTCAACGTGGGTAATTTCAGACAGAATGCTCCATGTACAGTGCAGAAATTATGTTACACACAATATTGGGATGTTGTGGAATTTTCATCTAATCAGAAAATCAAGTGTTCTGGCTATCTATCTGATAGTTCGGGATGGTATTTTTAATATTAGGAACACTATCTCATACCATATTCCGATACAGGAAGTGATATGTGATATGTGTACCATATTCTAATACAGGAAGTGGTGTTTTTGCTTCTTCATTAGTAGAAATAAACTACTTCTATGAACTCTTTCTGAAATGAGTGTAGTTATGCGTTTAAAGTATATTAGKGGAGAGATGAGTGTGATTATACCTATTTGAACATAAATTGAAGCTATGGTCTCCTGAATATTGAGCAGTTAAACTGTTCAGTCTTTGATTATTCGCACTTGTAGAAAAAGAGATTGATAAAGACCTCTTAAAAATGGTGCTAGTTTTGCTAAAGCAGTTTTTTTTATTATTTTTTTACCCAAAGCTGTAATGAATGCAATTAGAAATTTGTGCCCTCAGTCTAAGTGTCACTATATAGTAAGGTATGAAAAACTGAAGAAATTAATACTGAATGAAATAATGAATGAAATTAATACTGAATGAAATAATACAACTGAATGAAATAATGTTCAGAGTATTGAATATTTGGAATAAATGTAACAGAGAAGGATACATACAGAAGAACAAAAAAAAAATTTCCTTAAGATTTTCCTTAGCTTCCTTATGTAAACAAAATTTACTGTGCTGAATGAGCAAAATGTGTACATGTGGAAAAGTGCAAGATGAGAAGCAATGGTATAAAGTTATTTTAAACTAAATAGACACACAATGCATATTGTACAAAAAGGTGGCAGTAAAATTGGATCATAAGGCTTTAATAGTTGATATTTTCAAACTTCTGGATTGTCTGGCATCCTAAAGCAGGTGTTCATATAAAACTATAAAGTCTAGACTTAATATATCATTAAGCTCTCAGGTTCATTAATCTCTTTTTGATTTTAAAATGATTTCTCTAGATAATGTTGTTTTATTCCAAAGATAGGAGTAGCTTAAGTTAAAAAAGTTTATTTGAAATGTATTTTTTGTAAAAGAGCTGATTTAAACCTTTCTTCATAGCATTTAAAATCCTGTTCTAATTTACTGTTACAAACCTTAGTCGATTCTAACTTCAATTTTTTAAAAAAAATCTAGATCTTTCACAAGTGAAATCTGTAATACTGCAGTTTTCATTAAATATTTTAAGACTATCTTCAGTATTCCGCTGTATCTTTTATTTGTAGTTTTTATAAGATTTTACTTCTCTTTTGTGTGACAGTGTGATTTTAACTTAAAATCAACTTGGAAGTGGGTAGGAGTTTTATTGGCATGTTCATTAATCTTATTTAATCATTTATCATTACTCTGTATTTTCATTTTACAGATGGAATACCTCAGGTTTATTATTTTGGCCCATGTGGCAAATATAATGCTATGGTGCTAGAACTACTTGGACCTAGTCTGGAAGATTTATTTGACTTGTGTGGTAGGACATTTTCTCTTAAAACCGTTCTTATGATAGCCATACAGTTGGTAAGTAGAATAGATGTTCATTTGAGTGTTCACTAGTGTATCTAAATCAGTCTTCAATGGTTTAAATGCTTATTTCACTTAGGAGATCTGCAGTTCTCATGTTTAAAATTGTTGTTGGTGGTATTTTAAAAGCTTGTGATACAGTTTTAGCAGGAATACTCCTGTGTTATTTTCACTTACTTTGTCCCAGATTTTCAAGTCATTCCATGAATTTAATTACTTGTGTCTTCTGCAATCTCATCACAACTTGAAATTTGGAATTTTAGTTTGACATACTCTTTCAAAAAAGAAAGCCTTAAAGAAATGAAAGTAATTTTAGCCCAGACAAGTAGTTATATTATGGGACTCCTCAATGACATTTTTTCCTGAGCATTCTTAAAAGCAAGAAAGCAAACAAACAAATGAAAAGTTCCACAAATCCTTCCAGAAATTACAGCACAAAATTAATCAATGGAGAATTACTTTCTTATTTGGAGATTTCCTTGTTTGGGTCTGATCTAAGGTAGGRTGGAAGGGGAAAGAAGGACAATTAAGGCTGTGCATGTTTACTAAATTTCCACTTCCCTAAATAGTGATTATTTTTACCTCGGAAGGTTAAAAATAGCTCTTTAAAACATGTTTAACGTGTTTAATTGTTTAACAGGCCTCCAGGTACAGACATACAGACACATTGAACTTACAGCAGAAATGACCCAGTGTTTTTTTTAAAATGCTCAAGTTCTCACTAATCCAAAAAGCAGCTTTATTTAGTACTTCTTTTTCCTTTCTGACTATAGACATTTTGATAGAAAGCTGTCTAGCTAGAATAGACATTATATGCATAGTGATGAATTTTCTCACTAGTGCTTCTCTAGCTTATACCTTTAATATGTAGTAGATCTACATCAAGCTTTGCTGCTTACTGCTTGGTGACATAATTTCTGGTTTTACTTTTAATATACACAAAACGTGCATGTGCCAGCAAGCACGTTGTTAGAGGTGAAAACTGTTATATACAAGATCATGACTAATGCCCAGTATGAAGGTTGCCAATACATCAGCTGGTATATTTGCTTTGGGAAAGTACCATTTTCATTGAATTTAACTGGGAGATACTTTGTTAAGAACAATATGAATATGCTTTTGGTCTTGAGATGCTTAGAGGGGAGATTTCTTCTAAAAATAAAGCAAATGTATGATACTTAGCTTCTAACACATTTTAATACAGTAACCTGAAGCTTAAACTTAACTTTCRTGTCTGTTTTTGTTTTTCTTTTATTGAAGATTTCTCGTATGGAATATGTCCATTCAAAGAACTTGATATACAGAGATGTAAAACCTGAGAACTTTTTAATAGGACGACCTGGAAACAAAACCCAGCAAATTATTCACATTATAGACTTTGGTTTGGCAAAGGAATATGTAGATCCAGAAACAAAGAAACACATACCGTATCGAGAACACAAGAGCCTTACAGGAACAGCTAGATACATGAGTATAAATACACATTTAGGAAAAGGTACGTGTGTTTTTTYGGTGCAGAAATAGTTATGATTTGTYGTGAACCATATTGTTTTCAAATTATAATTTTTCTCAGTGTGTAGTCATTATGARCTGCAAATTTTGTGTATTGTGCAAAATATAGTTTGTCCTTATGGAAATACTGCTTGTGGGAGTAATCTTTTTTGAATCTCTAATCATCATGATCATGTCTTGGGAGTTGTCCTTTTTGTTAGCTGTCATTAAAAGAAAGGTGAGGTGTGTGTTTTGTATTGTAATATCTTCACATTATAACTATACCGTGGCAGAATGGAGCGTCAAGGAAATAGATGTGTTTATTAAATATAGTAAAGTCAGTAAGTTGCAACAACATAGGTTYCCAGTGCTCCCTTGCTAATTTTCTGATCTCTTTGAAATACACCATAAAATAATAAAGTAGCTTATCACTATATATGATGGTGATTTCTTGATTTTTTTTTAGTGCTTACACTGTTTACCAGAGTAGTTAAAGGTTATGCCTGCAAGCTAAAGAAATGACAGGATGTACATAAATATAAAAGTTGTTAATATGGACTGAATAAATTAAACTCGAAAAAAGGTATAAGTACTCAGATCTTTGWTTATTCCAGCCACAGAGAGGTTTTCTACTAAAAACAGTTAGTTAGACCCCTTTGGAGTTTTGTAAGCCAGTTGCTTATCACTGCATGGTAATCACTAATTGGGTTACTCTTTGAATTGGTTGTAAAAATGTTGCATAATTCTTACAGTTTAACTGTAAGTATAACTTAATATGGCAAATGAGAAACCATTCACACTTCTCAGACAGGAATAAAGTACTTTTGTTGATAATGCATAGCTATGGAATCTCTTAGGTTGGAAGATACCCTTAAGGTCATTGAGTCCAGCCGTTAACATAGCACTGCCAAGTGCACCACTATAATGTCCCTAGGCACCACTTCCACAAGTTTTTTAACATTCTTTTGGAAATGGTGGCTCAATCACTTCACTGGGCAGCCTGTTCCAATGCTTGAGAACCATTTTGGTGAAGAAAATGTTCCCAACATCCAGTCTAAACTTCGCTGTGGCACAGCATGAAGTTTTTCCCTGTTTTTCTATTGCTTGTTCCTTGGGTGAAGAGGCCAAGGTCATGTGGCTAAACCCTCCTTTCAGGAAGTTGTAAGAGTAATAAGGCCCTCCCTGAGCCTCCTTTTCTGCAGGCTAAACACCCTCAGCTCCCTCAGCTGCTCTTCATAGGACTTGTGTTCCAGAACCTTCAGCAGCGTTGTTGCTCTTTATTGGGCAAACTACAGTACCTCAAGTGCTTGATCTTTCTAAATCGGACTTTTGGACTCATGCTTTTCAGATAAAAGAAGTATTCACTGTATTTTTCAGTTATGAATATTGATATCAGCTTGAGGTGACTGTTACATTTTTGACACTGGACTCTGATCTCCACTAAGTAGGATAGACTGTTGATTAATACAAATTTTTCAAAGTTACAAATTTTTGTTAGTACAAAATTTTCAATACAAATTTCCCAACCACTTTTAAAATCAAATAAACTTTTTATTTCTCCTTAAATTAGAAGATTCCCCCATGCCATTTAAGAAAAAGAAATCAAAATGTAAAACTGGTAATCACTTGAAAAACTGAATATTGATTACATGTCCAATATTAACACAGGATGTGTATATTTTTGTCTAATGGTATCTTGTTTTAATCATAGAATGGTTTTGGGTTTGAAAAGATTGTACAGATCAGCAGTTCCAACTGCCTTGCCATAGGCGGGAACACCAAGCTGTTCCTTCCAACTTGGTCTTGAATAGTTCCAGGGATRAGACATTGACAGCTCCTTTGGGCAACATGTTCCAGTATCTTGCCACTCTCACACTGAAGAATTTCTCCTGAATATTTGAGCTAAACTTAATGTGTTTCTGTATGAAAGCACTATCCCTTGTCCTATCACTACATGTCCTCGAATGGAGTCCCTCTCTGGCTTTCTTGCCGGCCCCTTTTGGGTACTGGAAGGTGCTGTAGTATTTCCCTRAAGCCTTCCCTTCTCCAGGCTGAGCAGCTCCAGCTCTCAGACTGGCTTCATAGGAGAGGCATCCCTGGACATCTTCATGGACTTGTTCCACTAGGTCTGTGTCCTTTTTATCTTGCGGACCCCAGAGCTGGGTGCAGTGTTCCAGGTGGGATCTGATCAGAGTAGAGCAGAGGGGCAGAATCCCCTCCTCCCCTGCTGCCCACACTGCTTTGGATGCAGCCCAGGACACGTTTGGCTCTCTGGGCTCTGAGTGCCCACGGCCGGGTCATATCCAACCTCTCACTCACCAGCACCTTCTCAGGGCTGCTCTTCATTCTCTGCCCAGCCTGTATTTGTGCTTGGGATTGCTCTAACCCAGGTGCAAGTCCTTTCACTCACCTTTGTTGAACTTCRTGGTGTTGATCTAGGCCCACATTGCAAGCCTGTCCAGGTCCCCTTGTGGCATCCCTTCCCTCCAGGGTGTCAGCAGGACCACCCAGCCTGATGTCTTTGACGGACTTGCTGAGCGTGCTCTTGATCCCCCTGTCTGTGACACCAACAAAGGTGTTATCCAACACTGATCCCAGTAATGACCTCTGAGGACCTGCTCTCCACTTGCAAATRGAGTTGTTGCCTACAAATTACAGTGTGACGATCCAGCCAGTTCCTTATCCTCCACTTGTTTCAACTGTCAAATCAGTGTTTCTCCAGTTCAGAGTCAGGCACATCCTGTGTTAGTGTCAAATGCTTTGTACAAATCCAGGTACTTGATACTTGTTGCTCTTTCATCATGCTGCAACGCTGGGGCTGTGTTGATGGCCATCAGATTTGACAGGCGTGATTTGCCTTTACTGAAGCCATGTTGACAGTCTTCAGTCACTTCCTTATTTTCCATGTCCCTCAGCATAGTTATCAGGAGGATCTACACCATGATCTTGCTGGACATAGAGTTTAGACTGTCTGGCCTGTAGTTCCTCATGTCTTCCTTTACTTCTCTTTGTAATAATGGGGGTTATCTTTCTCAGTTTTAATCTCTGGAAACTTCACTGGGCTGTAATGACTTCTCAGTTGTAGTGGATAGTGTCATAGCCTGAGGTTCCCTTAGGACTTACAGATGCATCTCATCAGGTTCCATAGATTTGTGCATCCTCAGGTTCCTTAAATGGGCTGCAGCCTGATCTGCAGTGGGTAGTTCTTCATTCTGCTAGTCCCTGTCCATGTCTTCTGTGACATGGGTTATGTGACTGGCGTGCTTGCCAGAGAAGACAAGAGGAAAAAAAGTAAATTTTTGCCTTAGCTTTCACCATATCTCAGGTCTCATGTTTCCTTCTGGTGAGATCCCACATTTTTCCTAGTTTTCCTTTTGTCACCAGCATACTTACAGAAGCTTTTCTCGTTGCCCTTGACGTCCCTGGCTGCATTTAATCCCATCAGGGCTTTAGCTTTCTTAAGCTGATCTCTGGCTGCTCGGACTGTTGCTCTGTGTACCTCCCAGACTACCTGTCCTTGCTTCCCCTCTCTATATGCTTCCTTTTTTTCCTTTGGATTCATTTAGGAGCTCCTTGTTCATCCATGCAGGCCTTCTGATGGTGTTTGCTTGACTTTGTTGGAAGGCATTGCTTGTGGGCTTGGAGGAAGTCATGCTTGAATATTAAACCAACTTCCTTAGGGCCCTGCTTCCCTGCAGAGCTTTATCTCCTGGTATTCTGCCAAGCAGGTCCCTGAAGAGGCCAAGTCACCTCCCCTGAAGTTCAAGGTAGTTTTCAGAGTTCAGAGCTTGCTTTRCTCCCTTCTCACTACTGTTAAGATCTCAAAATCCAGTGTTTCATGGTCACTGCAGCCAAGGCTGCCTTTGAATTTCAGATTCCCCACCAGCCTCTCCTTGTTGGTGTGAACAAGGTCCAGCATGGCACCTCTCCTTTTTAGCTTGTCTATAACTTGGAGAAGGAGATTATCAAGGATTACTTACTGGATTGTTGATGCCTTGCTATGTGTTATCTCTCCAAGAGATAGTAGAGTGGTTGAAGTCCCTTATGAGGACCAGGGGGTGAACATGAGGTGGTTCCCTTAGATTTGTAGACAATGGTTATGAATGTTTGAGAAAGCTTCAAAAATGATCAGCAAAGCTATGAGTAAAAACCAGATTTAATATTAAGCAATAGCACAACAAAATTCTTTGACAAGGTTCACTCTTGCTGCTTACTAGACGSTTAAGACACACCAAAGAGAAAGGGAAAAAAGACAAAAAACAACAAAGTCCAGTCAATCAAAACAAAATGAACTGAGAACTATCTAGGGGTGTGTCTGTGTTTGTGCGCCTGTGGGTTTAGGTGCTGTGACAAAAGGACAGTGAGGCCAAGGATAAAAAGGAATACAGCCTAAAAGCTTAACAGCACTTAAAAGTATTTAACCTTAACTTACACCTTAAACTTAAGAATTTTACAAAGGAACAACACTTAGGTTATACCTAACTTCACTTATGACTTAACAATTTAACAGAGGAATAACACTTAACAGCATTTAACCTAACTTATAACTTAACCTTACTTTGATATTTAAAGTACTTCACCATCTAAGACAGCAGCATTTCTCCCCGAATTTTCTATAGCATATGTGTACATTTATGCACACAGAATCAGTGCAAGTTAACTGTGAAAAATTCCCCTGGAGGCAGTAAATTAATCATTCTGGRTGCTTCCGTATCTCCTCAGTGCAGGGAGAGTTGAGCTTTGAGGAGTGGGGATATTGGCCCAGGATTCATTGTTGTTCAGTGATCCTCTGAGGACAGCAAACCTGAGAGTTTGCAGGCTCTGAGAGGCACCACTCAGAGGGAKGTTGCTGATCACAGCTTGTGCAGTCCAGAACTCAAAGGTTCTCATTTTGGTCTGCTGTTCATAGGATTGCAAAAGAGTGGGTTTTAGTCATAACAATGTTTCATCCTGGCCACAGTGTGCATCAGCACACTTCCTTTGAAAATGTGAGAACAGGGTTGC